TGGAATGAGGGCAGAAGAGCTGGAGAGGCTGAATCTACCACCACGACCAGATGAGATTGATGTTTCCTTCGAGCCTGTACAACAATCATCTCTCATCCGACCTCCAAGGTCATCATCCTTGATGCCAGCCTCTTCAGCAAGCCCCCAACGATCTCCACGCATAAGTCCACAGAGATCTCCTCAAGGATCTCCTGACCCAAATAAACGCTCATCTTTTGCATTTTCTGAGCCAAGGGAGCTAGTCAGCACGTTACCCCCACTGACCCTGACGCAACTATCACCACGTGCAAGTCCACAGAGATCTCTCCAAGGGTCTCCAGATCCATCCCGACGCGCATCCTACGTATATTCTGAGCCGAGAGAGCTGGTCAGTACCTTACCTCCGCTGAACCTAACCCCGTCAGCGTCTCCAAGGCCTGATAGCACCTGGCTGCCAACGCCTGCTCGACCTGGGCTGAAGCCGAACGTCACCGAACCTGCTGTGCCCAGCTGGGGCCGGCCACCATCACGCAACAGTAACACGACTGCCCCGTTGACGTCGACGGCTGAGGTGAATTTGGAGAAAAACGCTTGGGCAGACGACGATGATGGATTCGGCAAAGGTCGCGACGAGATCAACATGACTTTCGAATGAACTCCGGTTGACACATGACATTGGCGGTATACAGTACTTTTGCTGCTTAGCGAGGCGTCAGGGCTTGATGAGACTGGGCTGAGTACGGCGTACTCCTGAGAAGCTGCCGATGGTTCATCTGAGTCATTGGCAAAATACCCTGTTTATTCTATCAGATGGACATATTTGACATTCAGAACCACTTCGCCTCCCCTGAGATCGAAGACGGCAACTCATATGTACACACCGGGCTCATCCAACCACCCGCATGGTCTTTGAGGCATTCTGGCGACGATGCGCAGGATACGGAAGAGAGCTTGTCAGCTACATGCAGCTTCGACATGGCTTTCTTCGAAGCTAAAAATATCATCAACATACCAGGTCCTCCACGAGATGTTGTCAGCGTCCCTCCTTCGACCAGTTTGCGAGGCTCTGCGAGGCTCCTACCAAGGAAGTTTCTTCCAAGCATCCCCAAGCGCCGCTTCCTTTGTTCGAGACAAGCACATTTTATATTCACTCCGCCGCTCCATACCTCCTCTTTCCCTTTGTTCATCGATGAGCGTCCAATCAGCGGGCAGTGGTTCTTTGTCCTTGTTCCTTATTGGCGTCGACGACAATGACTTGCAACGTCCTCCTTTGTGCACCTGTCGAAGGTCCAACTTCCTCACATTGTCTCAGTACCCTCTTGCTTTTGCACGTTGAACTCCTCGAACACAACTGCCTGGTATTGCTTTCCGGCATCTACTTATTTACATTTCGTCCTTCCTCATCGTGACATTCAGCAAACAACATATGACTAACTCTACCAGCAGCAAGATGGATTTCGTTATGAAACTTGCTCAGCCATTCAGATCGGTCTTGTCGGCTATGATCGAGTACCCAGGCTATCTGTTCGCATTCCTTTTTGCTTTCCGCTACCTGAGATTTGTGGCCCATTTGGTAAGCTATTTCCTCTATCGGCCGTCGCCGGTCCCCGAGTATCCTTGGATTCGAAACAGGGACTGCTCCGTCATTATCCCGACATGCGCCCCAGAAGACCCGGCGTTTCATCGATGCGTCGAATCAATTGCGCAAACCTTGCCCAAAGCGGTTTTCATCGTCGCTGTGGGCCAAGGACAAGAGGACCAGGTGCGTTCAATCATACGTCCTCTGATTCTTGGCTATCCACGCGTCAAATTCAAGGTGTTGCACACCGAGGAAGCGAATAAACGTTGTCAGATCGCAGCTGCCGTTCCCTCTGTCAGGACAAAGATCACAGTTCTGTGCGACGACCACGTCCTATGGACTTCACCAAGATTCCTACGTGCTGCAGTTGCCCCCTTTGAGGACCTCAAAGTCGGTGGAGTCGGCACGAAGAAACGTGGCATCCGTCATTCAGGGAGGGGAATCTTCCAAGGCCTTTGGAACGTCCTCGGCGCTTTGTACCTGGAAAGGCACAACTTCGAGCACGCAGCTTCCAATACTATTGACGGCGGCGTCGCTGTGATCTCGGGCCGCACTTGCCTTTACCGAACTCAAATCCTGCAAAATCAGGAAGTCATGGCCGGCTATCTCAATGAGAAGTTCTTCTTCGGCCTCTTCGGTCCTTTGAATGCTGATGACGACAACTATCTCACCCGGACACTCGTCAAGCGAGGCTGGAAGATCAAATTCCAGCTGACCGACGACGCAATGATTTTTTGCGATGTCGGAGAGTATCCCAAGTACCTGCAACAGTGTCTTCGATGGGCGCGTACGACTTTCCGAAGCAATTTGTGCTCACTGATCACCGATCGATCAGTGTATCTCTCTCAGCCCTGGACCGTTTATGCCCTTATGATCAGCCAAATGGTCAATTTTGCGCTCTTCTGGGATGCTGCATTGCTTGGGCTAATGCCTCGAACAGAATTCTACTCTCCATATGCTTTCAAGGCGTTGATCGCATGGATTCTGGTGTCAAAACTTCCCAAGCTGTTGCCCTACTTCTGGCGACACCCACTGGATTTGCTCTATCTTCCTTTCTATTACGCCTTTGCGTACTTTCACTCGTTCATCAAGTTATGGGCTTTTCTGACCGTCTTCAACACGCAATGGTTGGGTCGGAACCTGGCCCAGGTCAACGTAGCGGCTTCGGCTAAGACTGTTGAAACGCAAGAGTTCACACCACCACCTGAGTATGAGAGCTACCATGACAGGTCTGAGGACTATACCGCCTATCCTCCCCGGACACCCACCGGCCCTACTTGGAGCCCATCAAAAGCACCTCACTGGAGCACATTGCGTCCTGTTGGTACGCCTTGGGGCTTCGTAAAGCCTGTCAACCTTCACCTTACACCAGCCAATGTCTTGCAGGCCCAAACGCCAGGCAGAAGTTGGCCAGCAGATTTCAGTTCGCGGAAAAGGTATGCTTATCAAGATTCAGGCTACCTGGGCGATCACTCTCCCGTGGCACTGCAATTTGAGGAGAATCTGGCTTCTCAGTCGCACACTAGCTACCCGACGCCAGTATCTTACTATAGCCCTCAGTCGATGGCCGTAGTGCCCGCTACAACGCAAGCACCGGCCACGCCTCCGAGAACTCCGCCTCCTCCTCCGCCGTTTCGCGCGTTGGCCACACCGCGGCGCTCCCCGAGTACATCATCTCGGTCTTGGGTCAGGGCTGATGAATGTGGTAGGCTGCACGAAAGCCCGTATCCGCGTAGGCGGTGTGGGTATTGAGGTCGCAACTCACAGCGAGTGAACAGAAATGGTAAGATGTGGTGAGTACTCCCTAAGAAGGTGGGCATTCGCTCTATTGGTCAATCTCATCTGAGTGAACGAAAATCAGGAGAACTGCGGATCGGAGATTCAGAGAAGGTGAGTTCAACTGGTAGGTGCGACGAAACGGTTAGTATGTATGATGTACTTGAAGGCCACCCGAAGCGTACGCGTTATCTCGACCAATATCGTCGTTAGCAATTTCTTTTCCCGAAGCTCACAGTGTCAGACTGACACGAATATATCTTTTGCCAAACTCAAATGTAAGTCCGTCTATCCTGATATCTCATGAAAGTATGGTATCAAGTCATCCGGTCGTTCAACCAAAGAAGCAGATAGAGAGCCATTCGAAAAAACAAGCGTTGGTATACAGTTTGACCAGTCCACGCTACTGTACCTTGTTGTAATCGAGTAGTGGACACCGCGGGCGCCTCAGTGCTATCGAATGTGCCGTTGAATATACGAAGCGACCTATTTTTCAATCTGATTACTATTCATGTTTGCGCCGGGCTTACCGGTTGCAAGAGGTTATTGAATACCGGGGGCGCTTCGCTGCCACCGAGAGAACGGCTGACATTATATATCACAGTCTGCCTTTTGATCTGTATGCCACTTACTTTTGCGACTGATCGGTAGTTGCACATTTATGCAGCCCCAATCCTTACTGCTTGTAGTCCGGAAGCTGAGCTGCGGAATGCCATAAGAGATAGTGAGACACAGCAGGGCCGGAAGTTTCGTGCCTGAGATGCCTTGCTGGAGCCTACCGAGTCCAATCTAGGCTTGCCCCTTGAGCGATCGCAGCTCTGTCTTCTCCTGCCCTAACCATACTCAAGCGTCCCTGGCCAAATAACATCGGGCTCGCGTTCGTGTCCCTCTCGGATCACTCTTGGCACAGTGGGTGACAGCATTCCTTGTATATGGCGCCTGCCCTGTTGGTATCCGAGCCGAATTCCACCCATCAAGATGCAAGCCTGTGTCATTCGAGACATGGCTTACACATTCGTTCAGGCATGCTTGGGACTGCGGTGCCACTCGCCTTAGCCTAATCTTTGAGCTCTGCTCTAACGTCCGAGAGTACGCCACACTCAAGACCAAGGAGTACCAACCAGGGGAAGTTGCGGAATCGGCCCTTCAATAGAAATGACGAAATGGCGAGGGAAGGCTCCCGGGTGCTGATTGAGGACTGACTGGGCGTGATAAAAATCTTCACGCTTGTGTCTGGTGGCTTCCGCAAAAGGGGCGAAGCTGGGAATCCATCGCTTTGAGATATGCTTTTTTTCTGGTGCCTCAGACAGAAGTACCGATGCTCTGGCCACTATATATTGGGGCGGAGATGGATCTATCAGCATAGGCATGATATCCTCGGCGGCTTCCTCGAAAGGACCTTCCAACAAATGAGTCTGCTAGTTGTCTGATTTGGGCTTTCGTTTGTGGTCTATCGTGAGGACAGGTGGACTGATTGTTGTAGACTGAATAGAGGTGTATTTACTTGTGATGGTCTAGACTTCAACAAGGCTTCTATAGTTTAAGTTGTCTTACTGAAAATGTGAACATGGATGCCAAGAAGATCTGGCTTATCCCTTAACTCTGTTCTCCCAACACACACAAAAATCATACTTTAAAAATGAACAAACAATAACCACAAAAAGATTGACCAACGCAGGGATCGAACCTGCAATCCTAATTTATTGTTAGAAATGATAATTTAATGAAAGAGCATAGTAACCCACTCTTGATTCGTAGTCAAGCGCCTTGCCATTGGGCCAGTTGGCCTTTTTGACCACAAATTTGGAGACTGAGTTATATAAGCGTTAAATAAAACAAGAAGGAAGCTAAGCCTACATGGGCTAGATACCGGACGTGTGAAACGGATCGAAATCGAGTTTTTGGCTTATTTCCCGAATCCTGTCCCGGCACACCGACCGTTAGGATTTACATTCTACCTTATCACCGCGCGGCCTTGAATTCTCAGGAGGTTCTCGAGCTGAGTCAAAGGCTCAGGCAGTCGCTACGAGCAAGATTGCTAAGTCGGTTGTCCGTCCAACAGAGACTGCCTTGCACACGACGATCTGCAATAGCTTGAAGGAAGTCGCCGCATTCATCGCAGCAATACTGAATACACGACTGCGGCAGTGGCTGTCCTCGACACCACTGATCGAAAAAGGGAATAGGAGTACATCAAACTCTACGAATCAACCTAGTTCAACTGCCTCTGGACCAGTGCCTCATTGCGGCATTCGGAGTCTTCCGTCACGAACAGCAATGAGAGCGACACGTTATATCAGTATTATCAACAGGTCTCCCCCGTTTTGAGGTAGCACTCTTAACACCCTTCCGCGTCAACCCGGAATAGAACGGAGCTGTTGGGAAGGGACGCCTCCGCCACGGCGAGCGTCTGACAGCAGAATGCACGTTGTTGATTGTGTACAGCTTGCTCAATACCATGCGCAATCGCCTCTGCTGCTTCTTGGACCCTCAAGGTGAACTTCAAAACCATAGCACGGTGAACGCCGATTCGACAACCGCCATCCATCATACGCTCTTTGTCCCATTCATACCGCTCAGATCAAAGGTTCCATGCACCCCAGGTGTGATGATCCACGGTCGTGAAAATGAGGCCCCGAGCAACGAGCTCCTTCGCCACATCGCACACCTCGTCAAACGAGGCTCCAATTGTATCCGCTATTATCTGTCCCTCTAGACCATCGGAGTCTTGGATTGAGTACTTGAGCGTCGCAAATATTTGTCTTCCCAGTGGATTGATTTGACCAAGATCGTAGAGGGTGTTTGAGTTGGATTCTTCCAGCGGAAACTCATAGGCGATCCGCTCCCTGGTAAGTTCCGACAGCATTCCATGAACTGGACAACTGCCATCGAGAGCCGTATAGCCGATATCTCCTTTCTTCAGGCACTTCAAGCAGGACCCTCTCCTCCAAAACTCCCGCTTCTCCTCAAAAATTAGAGCTTGTATTTCATCTTTCAGGTCACGAGCACAGTGTTGGCATCCTGGGCAGCCGCCAGGCTCAATTGACGGGACGTCTCGCATCGACGTCGAACCTCCGAAATTCTTTGCATCCTCACCAAATTCAGCAACCAGCTTGTTGATGCAAACCATGGCTTGTGCCCAGGTTTTTGAGCAGCTTGCTGCGTCAGTGAGACAGAGACCGCCACGAGCAAATCGGAAGATCAGAGAACCAAGCTTGGTATGGCTTGGCTTGCAGCTGACACCGGCTTCTCCCACATTGATGCTCGGACTGATACATTTGAGGACCTTTTCGAGTAGCCATCGAGTCATTTGAGAGCCTATCGGACGGATAATACCTGTCTTTAGTCAGCCACAGATGCATTGTTCGAGGAAGGGAGGCCACCATCCGCAAATGCCATACCAAATAGATCACCAGCTTTAGTATCAATGTTGATGAATGTGTCTACTTCTTGAAGAGGGGGAATGCTGCTCGCGACGAATGCAATACTCGCTTCCCAAAACAGGTCTGGCAACTCAAAGACGTAGGCGATGCACATCAAGTCTTCCGGTACAAGGTCGATGATACTTGTCGGGAAACTGCGCAGGCTTGTGGGATCTCTTGCGGTTGCCTTTGCCCACGATCGGTGCTCATCAATAGCCAACATCATCCACGGCCTCACAGCATCTTCGCAACCCCGCATATCCGCGAGGACGCTGATTTCGCGAAGTCGTTTCCTGTCAACGCCTTTGATCGAATCACACTGGTGGTGAATAATGTGACAGAAATGCAGCACCACCTGGGGATCGTCTTGGTCCAGCTCGATCACCTTGGTGATGCCCTCAATGAAGCTCGAGTTGAGCATCGCTGCAAAGACCTTTGAAGCAACACTAAGGACGGCCCCGGAGACCTTGATGTCAAGAACGTCTTCCCTTTGCCCAACCTTGAGTGTCACATCGGCACCAGCGACAAGCTGAATAGTCTTTGCGCTTCTGTTTAGGGGAGGCAGTGCCGAGCTTGAACCATCTATCTCTTCAGCTTTCTGCTTTCTGCTCGTCGTTTGAACGCCTTCCACAACGGCAGCCATGTTGACAGGCGGAGTAGGTGCCGACATCCTTGCCAGGCTTTGCGGATGCGACTGTGGTGGACTTCGGGACTATTGCAGTCTTGGGAGCAGATGCTGATGGTTGAGTGAAGTCAAGGAGAGGTGCCTTTGAACAGCCGGAGGTACTGGACAAGGTGAGGTGGAAGTGAAGCAGAAGTGAATGGATGATGAGCCGACAGTCAGGTGGGGTCCGCCTGCCCGTGAAGGTCTGCTCCTTCCTACAGAGATGCTGAGCACTTCTTCTTGGTTTTGACCCTCACTAATGCTGTGGAAGTGAGTGAAAAAGGTAAAGCAGGAACACCAACAGCTATTGATCCGTTCTGTGCCCTGGTGGACGTCAGTAGCAGCATTCTGTCATCGATTCGACTATGGTCAGTCCTATCTTCTCCAAAAGCCTTCCTTGCCTTTTTTGCAGCCATGAAACAAGATCTCGGTGTTGTCACAGCTCCTGCGAGTGATTTGGTCGAAACAGCGCACACTCTCGCAGAAAGGGCCTTGATCCACGCAGGGAGTACCCAATCGCATTCTCATGACGAGGCCTTTCTGAAATCGCGGAGCTCGAATACAGGTACCAGGAGAGGAGGGTATCAGAAAGCGCGAAAATCCAGAGCTTACTCGAGTCCAGGAGAACGCTCGCCTTTACGAGATCCTTTAATACGTGCGTGTCCTCTGCTCGCATGAGTGCCTGACAGGCGTCTTATCCGGCTTGAGTGAGAGACTTGCTCGGCAGTAGTAGGGAACGTTAATCCAGTCATTGTTGGTCCAAGGTGTTACAAGCGGCAAAGGATAACAAGGATATTGGAATTGGGACATGTCGTGGATGCCCAGATAAGTTCGCAAAAGCCCTGAACTGAGCTCCTGCCTGTGGCTGAGAATGGTAGTGGTCATTTCAGAGGTAGCTATGCTGAAGGCCTGGACGCCATTGACAAAGTCTCACTTACCGATGGCCTGTCCATAGTTGTTTCCATGCGGCTGGAATCGTGACCGTTGAAAACACTGCTCAGCGAAGTGTGGAAGCTCCATCGGAAATGTATGTCCACAGAGGCGCAGCACAACAAGAACATCACATAGCGATAGGAATCGCCGGTGGTCTAGACCTCAGCCAGGCCCAGACTCGCATCGTCATCTTGAGGACGGTTGCCCCACGTTCGTGTTTTGATCCGAACCGAAGCGAGGGGCAATACGAGCTCGGCTAGGGGTAGGGCCCTGTGCGGCGGTACCCTTGCGGGCGTCGAGGCTCACACTTTGCAACGGGTGACACTCGATTCGAGTTCAAATAATTTCAAATCAGTAGAATCTATGAATACGTTGCAGATGATGGTTGTTTTGAGGAGTAATAGGAACAGTAGACGAAAAGACCTTTTGAGGAGAACGATCCAAGTCATGGCGATTAATAATCGCGGAGACTTCAAGGTCAATACATTGTACCTTTGCACATCGGAGTGTTTGAGCATGTTTTCAGGATAGACTCGTCGTGATTACATCGTCTATCTGTCCGTAGCGAGCTGCCCATAATCTACAAAGTCCGACAAAGCCGTCCGTATTCACAAGGTCATGGACCCTGGTGGACTTCGCCACTCCTATTAATCGTATGCCCTTTCGTGGTAAGTACCACTTTCATTACCGTGTTTCCATGATCCGTGATTCCTGGATCCTATCGATGAGTCCTCCTTGAAAGAAGGAACCTGACGCCGCCAGCGCGAATGTCGCCCATTGCTGTAAATGATACTGTCAGGCAGTCAGCGCCGACATCTTGTTTCCCTGATGCTCTGAAGATTTTGTTCCTGCCGGGTTCTGTAGTGCCCTAACAACTCAAACACGAAGCCCTGCCCAGGCTAAAGCGCTGGAATGCCAGAAAATCCAAACATCTGCGTAGTGTTGTGCATCATTGAATGACTCGGAGGGACGTAATTTCCCTGGTAAGGTGGATTTTGAGCCGAGAAGTCGGCATTCTTGTATAGTGGGTTAACGATCCCGGTTGGGTACTTGGGACGTGGAGGCGTGGCGACTGCTGGTGCTGAAGACACTGAAGGCGCGTAGTATGTGGATGCATTGCTCACACTGTCATAGTCCGCAGCGGTGCTGGTCCAGCCCCACCTCTCGCGAAGGTCGTCATGGATGAAGTCGACACGCCAACCAGTCTCCTGCTTGATTCGGTCAAAAATCTGCAGGACTTCTTCTTGCTCCCTTCTATCGGTAAGGTTCTCAGCAGCAGCGGCCAGACATCGAATGGAGGCCGAAGCAACGCCTCTGTCTTTTACATGTGCCACAATGCCGCAGACTTGTCTGGAGTGATGCAGTTTCATCTCCTGCATCTCAGCCTCGATCTCGGGTTGCATGCTCGCCAAGGGATGGACCGTCCCAAGCAGTGCCATTGCAGTGTGGAAGAACAACCTCGCGACTATTGTCGTTCTCTTGATGAACCAAATCTCCGGAAAAGCACTTCTCAATCTTGTCAATGGCGCCGGAATGCGACCCATGGCATGCATTGTAGGCGGGACACACTTCTGCCAACGGTCGCAAAATTGCTTTAAGCCCATCCATTGCTGTTGGCGTTGATGTAGACGCATTTGCTCAGCGTGAACACTGCCGTCGTGATATCTTCGCTGTGTTTCTGCGCGGAAGTTTGTAATTTTCGATAAAATCCAGAGTACCTTGTGAGTCCAGTCTTCTTCGTGTCCGCCTAGGTGCTGAGGATCCATACTCATATCAATGCCCCAGGTATCAGGATCCCATGCCACACTCCAATTGAAGTGCAAGCAGCTGAACAGTTCAAGCCCGACATTCAACCAGAAACAAGCCGCACCGATGCCTGTTGAGTTGGCATCCCAGCGACATTCCTTTATGAGTGCACGAGCGCCTGCAATGTGATTCATTCTCTGTAAAGCTTTCTCGGACATGACTTCGTAGACGTTGAGAATAGTGGCTGTGGTGGCGCATAAGATGCTGTCTCGGTCCGGGTTTTGGAGGGACTTCAACAGCAACTGTGTCGCATTATTGTAGTAGTTCAAAGCGTCTTCCTCGGGATAAATCTTGTTCACCAGGTTGAGATGACGAATCCCGCAAGCCAGAAGGGCGTACCTTAGCATAGGTTCTTTCATTGCTTGAAACGGGATGACGCGAGAGAAATGCTTCTCAGGATCCATGGAGTCCATCCAGACCCCGACTTCTTCAACAAAGACTTGCATGTACAATAACTCCTGGGAGTCTTCGAAGATGAAAGGGGTATGTTCTGTCTCTTGTGGCACCATCATAGGCTGCTGATAGGTTTGTCGGATCCCATGAGTGGGGTCTGAGTAAGACGTCACAGAATTTGTTGATTCCCGATAAGCGTGATTCGTGGAGCTCGGGTAGATAGACTGAGCCGATTCAGCATAGCTGTTCGAATACTGGTGAGTGGGAAGCTGCTGATGAGGTATCAGTGGTGCAGATATCTGGCCATAGTCGTAAGTCATATCGGTCACATCCAACCTCTGGCGTTTTGGCTTTGGCTCAAGCGGGTGGTACTTTTCCAAACCACCTTGATATTCGGAGGCAATGTCCCGCGAATCATCTTGGAAAGAGATTTTCCAGTCGTGAGTTCGAGGGATTAGATAGGGTGGCGGCAAACATTGTATGTCGATAAAATTTAGTCGGATCCCACGCTTGCACTTGCGACTAGATTTCTTGCAGTTCTGACAATTAGGTAAACCTTCGTCGCATTTCAAGTGCCTCTCACGGCACGTCAAGCACCCGGTTCTGACTCGTTTGGGCTTTGTTGATGAGATGTTATCTACCTTTGCTTGAGAAGGAGCCTCAGGCTCCGTCATCGAGAGAGGGCTATTCTGCAGCGTTTGCGAAGTGGGCGTCGATTTGGTCGACGAGGCCCGGGTCATGGGTTGCTGGTCGTTGACCGCTGCATCTGCGGTTGCGTAAGGCGGCGTCAATAGCGTATAACTGGGTTTCTTCGCAGACTCTTGGGCCGAAGACAAATGCGACGTCTGCACAGATAAGTCGTCAAAGGTCGTCCTGCGATAGGGTGCAACGTCGACTGCTCTCGTGTCGTTGGTAGTTGACGGAGGCAACGCCGCTGCGGCCTGATATGAGGTCTGGTAGTAGTGCGCCAGCTTGAAAACTTTATCGGGGTTTCATGACCGTGCGCAAAGGGTCTCAATGAGCGGCCAAGCCTACCAATACCCAGCTGATGAAGGGATTGTGATCGATTGTGATGTAGACTTTCAGTTGGAACTATTTGCATGCACCGTGCTAACAATTCGGCTGCTGAAAAGTCAGCATGAGAGTTTCAAGACGCCTTAAAAGAAAAATAGAACTCTGTCGACGAATTGCGAGAAATGATGCCAGATGGGTACAAGAATGAGGTTGATCCATTCGTGCCATCGGACTTCTTTGCATTCTTTCCCGATCGTTGCGCAGCCATTGAAGGCGCTGTACACTTCGACCGAGTGACTTTTTGGGAGATGTAGCTTTGTGCAAGGATGGGCAATTGCGTGGCAATGACGCCATTCTCACGAACCCTCAAGCCGTGCAGGCGATATGGAAATGGTTGCTCATTTTGACATCTCATAAAGAGAATTGACGTACCTTTTGGATTGTGCGGTCGGATGTGATGTGGTGACGGTGGTCGAATGTGAAACGACAGTGAAGTCTCGAAGGAGGTTCAGATTGAGGTTCAGGTTGGTTGAGATAGGTACGGACAAAGTGTAAGCCGGGTAGAGTGGCTAGTTACGTGGGGAAATGTCGAATGAGACAGGCACAGGATGGATGGTTAATTAAAGAAAGAGACGAGGATGCAGGACGTTGATGCGATTTGAGTTCAGCGGGCGTTGTCAAAGCCGTGATGATTGATTGATGTCCCTTGATGGAAGATGCAGTAGAACCCCGGGCGATCCAGGAGTCTGTCACCGTTGAACACAATTATCAAATCACTTTTAGCTGCACTTGATTCTTCCGTTTCGCAAAGAACATGCCTGATGCTGGATCAGCTTGAATGAGACTCGCTTGTTCACGAGAATCTGAGCTAGAGCGACGGAGAAGGCGACACGGCCACAGCGGGTGATTGGCGGAAGTTGCGGCTTTCCCCCAAGCAATAGCCTGCCCAAGCACCATCATTCGGCAGTCGCCAGAAACACTACTGCCAGGGATAATTACAGGTGGGTTCCAGGCTAGCGGCTAGCCTTGCTTTCCTGAGAGCGACCAGGTTGGGCCCTGGTGCTTGCCGGGGGAGTCCGAGGATATGGGTCTCAAGTGGATGACCCAAGCAGAAGGGTCTTCGCGCACAACACTGGGGTCTTGCCGCAAGGGAGCCTCTCTGTTAGTATCCTTTAGGGTTTCGAATAGGCGTCATGGCGGCGGCCCTGGGTCAAACACTATCTGATGATCTAGCGACGATGCCCTTCTACTGGACCACTGCCAGCCTGATGCTCATCAATAATAACAGCCGCGAGCGTCCTGTGGCAGCTGAGGCTATGCATCTTATCATCGGGAGCCGATCCGGTTCACTGTTCGCGACTATCGAAAGCAAAAACAACACCGGCTACACGGTCTGTATTCTGCTGGTTGGAAAAAACAGCAGCTTAGTGATCGGTCGTCTGCTTGCTCTTGATGGGCTAGGCAAGCGCTATGGGGCAGATCTGTGATAATTATTTGTGTTCCTGCTGGGCGATTGTCGAAAAGGAACGATTGACACTGGGTCCATCACAGATCTTGCAACTCTAAAGCAGTAAGTTCGGCGTCTATCACCGACTCGTCTTGACCGTTGCAGGCTTTCGGTCGACGATCCTGTCGATTGTTCTCGACCCCTCTTCCCTCTTGCTTGCCTTCTTGACGTTTCCCTCTTTTCTGGATTCGTATCACTGGGCTTGCGCTGGCCGCTGAATTGGGATATCTGCAGTGCGCCATTCCTCTTCTTTGGGGCTTTGCTATCTCAAATCGACACTCGACTCGGCGAATACCCCTGCACTCGGGGTCTTCACTCGCTTGCTTTCCTGTTTTCATTCCTCAACCCCGGCGAAAGAGTCCGAGGCGGAGTGGTTATCACTCTTGCGATCTTCACCTGTTTTTCCAGCTATGAACAACAACAGCCCCCAAACCACAGAGACCCTCGGAGATCGGGTAGGGAATTTCCTCTCGCTTGCTAACTCCCGTTTCCTCGCCTTGTACATAAACCGTTGTCCGGATTTGTTCTCGCTTGTCCAGCGACCCCAGCCGGTACTCGAAGTCGTACCTGCACTTACCCCTCCGCGCAGCGGGCGGGGCAAGCTTATGTCCATCTCGACTGTCGTCCTCTGACTGGAGGTTGGCTGGCCTTTTGATGACCATTTTACGAGGCCGAGTCAGGTCTCGATCGATGAGTTGTGGCTTTCGAGCTGCCCGTTCCGTCCTTCTCGTCTGCATACATCTTCCTTTCCGGGCGACTTTTCCGGCTGACCCTGCCATCGGCGTGCCCGAACAGGCATCCTCCTGGCTTCCGGCAGCACCTCGCCTGCTCTTTCTGCCAAAGATGCTTCGCTTGGAGATAGGTGCAGGCCAAATTCGACGACATTGTGGCTGGTGAGGCTTGATCCCACGTGGAATAGTGCCACCTACTCAACCCTTATGCGAGTGATGTGGCTCAGTCAACTGCCGGGCTGGACTTGAAGGCCCCTGGCCTTTGCGAGTTTCAAGCCCTTGCCACTCTTGACACCATCTCGTTTCTTGACTTCGCATGGACTCTTCATCATAGCCCCCTGCACAGCTCAAACTTGGTCAATTCGAGTCAAACCTCAGCATGAAGGATTCTCGCTTATATAGCGAATCGCTTCTTGCATAATGAGCCGGTCGAATTTCGTCTAAGCGAAGACCTCCTTGACGGGGAAACGTGGCAGCTCAGCTCACAAGTGGCCTCGTCCATCTCAGACCAGCAATATCGTTACGAACCTATCAAGGTTCAAGACTTAAAAGCCGTTAATGGAAGCTGCCCTGCTGTGGGAAAGTATTACGTGAAGTGTTTTACACTCGAGGCCTTCCATCCCCTATGACCTTTTATAGCGCACCAAAATATGGGCTATAGAGCGATGCGTCCGTTGGGCGGGCAGGTTGGTCCATCTGCACAAGCGTTTGATACTCGTGGCGCACAGCGCGCATGTTGGTTCTTGAACCTCTACGAAAGTTTGGGGCCTTGAGACGGAAGAGGCAACCTGGACAAGCCCGTGCGCAGGGTTAGATTATGTTCCCTTGATGACATTGGTACAAGCGCACCAGCGCCAAACTGCACCAATAGCTTAGGCTTGAGACGCGCCCCACGGGTGGTCGTGCAACTCGATAGGTGAGGCAAAAGTTTTGGAATATATATTATACCATCTAAAAATCGGTCAAAATTCTTGCCACAGAATCCTGCCATAGATCTACCAGATCTTTAAAGGCTTTGTCCGCCTCCATGGCTTAGTGGTACAGCGTCTCACTCGTATTTGAACCAATGTATGACAATGAGAAGATCGCCGGGTAAGAATTGTTTGTTATGGTGGTGCGGAATGATGGATATTGATTGTTTAACTAGTTCGATTCCGGCTGGAGGCAATGAAGATGTTTTTGATGATGTAGAGAATAGTAGAATCATAATTTTTGTTATTTTTGATGAAGTGGTGGTGGTGGTGTGGGCAAGGAAGGTGGTCGGAAGTATGACAAGGGTGGTGAGACAGAGCTGTCATTTGAAGCTATATGGAAAACTCCCAGTCTCAAATTATCACTTACTGGTGCGGTTATCAATGATATTTGTCTGCATGCTGGTCTAGCTGTTCCTGTGTTCTGCATAGATGTTAACGAACTCTGCTACTTTGAGTAATGGCACTGCGCTGTCCATGCATGCAATCCCATCACACCATTCATGGCTCATGAACGATGTTTGTCGACTCGATCGTTCACTCTTTCTATTGAAATTGCTTCCCAGTCCTGGGTGTCGGCCGTCACGTCAATTTGAGACAACTGGCCAGCCCGTTCAATTTAGAATGACAGTTCGATTGTGAGCGAGACAAAATACTAGGGTTTTCGAGCTGTGACTATTGTTCAGATCTCATTCAAGATATCGCCCTTTTTGGCCCACGTCCACAACGAATTAAGCCGACAAGGCTCCGTTCCAAAGACCATATGCGGACATCCTATTCCGAATCCTGTTCCGGAATGCTAAAAGGCAAACAATCAGAATGATTGCGATAGACACGCTTCCGCCTACTTTCCAAAAATATGTCTCGGAGTAACTGGTATCTACGATGCCTCTCAGATTCATGCCAAAGTAGGATGTAAAGAACGACAAAGGCAGAAAGACAATGGTGACAGCGGTAAAGACGAATATGGCCTTCTGTTTTGAGTCGGCAATGATGGCGAGCTCGTTCTGCTCGATGGAGCGGAGTTGAAAAAGCTGGACAACAAGTCAGAAAGTCCTCATGCACATACTTGAGTTTGGAGGAAGGAGATGGAAAGCGAGCATTGCAGGGCTGTCCTACCGTGTTCAACGACTCGCGCAAATCAGCCCCAAGTCGCTTGCAACGAGCACTACACTCTTCCATCATGTGCTCTGCAAAGGCTACCCTATCTGAAGCTGTCTCTCCGCTATCGAATTCCGAGAGATCGACAGTCTCGCCATTCCTGAGCTCCGAGAGAACCTCACAGTCTTTTCTGAGACGTCGAAAGAAATCAAGTTTCTTGGAAAAAATTCCTCCCAAGACAGTCAACTCGTCGACGCAAAGTAGGTAAGCTCGCACCAGGTTCGTAGTCTCACCCTTCCGCCACAGGTCGTACCTCCGCTCTTTCTGGAAGGCGTGAGTCTCATGAAGGGCAGATCAAACCGGTCGATTAGGAGGACACATACCAAATCATGAACAATGGCGTCATAAGCGTCCATCAAAGACGGTACGCTGTAGCCTTGGCGAATATTATGCGGCGTGACCGCGACTTCGGTGATCAGGTACACCAGAAACCATTCAACGGTTTTCCGAGCCCAAGTCTGAGTGCCTGTGATGGAAAACTCGCGAAAGACTTCTGCGGTTGCAGAGGCAAAGTTGTCCCCACTAAGATCTTTTTGTGAAAGTTCGAGGTAATGAGGAAAGTTTGCATTGAGGTAATCAACGCCAGTCGCAGGTGACATTGTCAAAAGGAAGCCTAGTCTAAGTCAGCCAGGAACTCAGTCTGTGGACTCACAAGGGAGGTCACACCATCATTCCGGTGAAAGCTGCGAAAAGCGCTTCTGGCAATATAAGCATCCTCGAAAAAAGGATGCCGAGTCAGAGACTGAGTGGCCTTTTCGAGCTTCGTGCTCCGGATGCCTTCAGACGGACCATTCATGTTCAGATGGCTTCCATCAGCGATCTGCCACGGCAAGTCCGCTTTGGCCAGTTCCCAAAACCTGACGCTTTGGCCGACGTACTGCGCCCTCCACGTTACATCCTTCTTTAGCTTTTCGCTGTTGTTGCCGGCGAAAACGCTGCGATCGAGGATGTCACTGATATCTCGCTCGTCTTTCAGGATGCGTAGAAGATCACGCGATTCCTGGATTGACTTCGCGTTCCGGAGATCGAATGTTTCGATTTCGAGATATGGCCAGCCAGCTCGGCCGCCATTCGTGAAAGGACGACCCATCTCCTTGGAACCAGTGTGGAAAAATAGAGCTTCCACAGACTGAGAGACAGAGTTAGTTGATGTGCTCCTGGCTCGGAGGTCTGACGATCGATGAGGAAAAGTGTAACATACCGAGTGAAGTAACCCAATACCCAGTGGTGCATGTCTGCGACCAGATATTAACACGGTCCGAGCCAAAAACACACCTACAACTTCTCCTTACATCCATCGAACCGTGGACCACGGCGGCTTTGTTTCGAATTCTGCAGTATGTCAGCAAATTGTCTATCGTGATCGATCGTTTGGCGCTGGATGGCTGCTCTTCCGTACCTGCTTCGATATCTCCAAGACGTACCTCTCTACGCTCAGCTCTCCCATCCCCAAAATCACAGATGGTGACCTGGACGTCCGACCGAGGAGGAAAGAAATGATCGACTGCACTGAGCAGCTTCTTCTCGGATGGCCTACTTGGCGCAGCGCCTGGTAGGAAATCAAGGTATTTGCCTACTATGTTCCTTCCGGGATGGGTAGCCCATCTCCGCAGGTCTTCGACAGTAGCTGCATGCTCGCGCAAGCCACGCCGGCGCTCTTGGAGTAAGGACTCCGAAATATCCGGAGGAAGGTCTCGGGTGTATTCTGAGAGGATCTTGGTCGTACTGACAGGTGTGTAAGGGTGCCGTTTCTCTGAGAGCTCGAATGTCTCAATCTTTGTCCCAGTCTTCTTCTCCACGACTGTCTGTGACAGCATGGCGAATGGTGGTGCAGTTCTGGTCCAGGTAACAATGCTGAATCAACGATACAAGATCTGGAGCATTCGATGGTTGGCAGTTGCGCCACTGAAAAGTGATCAAATATGGTATTCTTTCCGGCAAGACAAAATCTGATGATGGAAGGATATAATGAGTAGAAGCCAAGGCTCCACAGGTACGGTGTCGGACGACCAGCGGCAGCACAGGGTATATTCATCCTTTGCACCAGGACCAGCCTCACCTCAAAGTCCACAATGCGAACAGATCCCTCATCACAAACCGCCCACGTTTTGTTTCAGATGCTTTGATTGACCTATTTTCGACCCCAAAGGCGAGGGCGAAGAGGCGCGTATCGACCCTTGATGCATCTGCCGGAGGCAGTCTTGCTACATATTGTCTCGAGCGAGAACTGCCTGGACGAGCTAGTCTCCAGCCTCATGCTGTATTTTTAACGGGGATTTGTCCCGTTAACCGACCGGAAAAGGTTAAAGTGAGGCCGATAATTTGCGACAGGTAGATGCAAACCTGCATCATATTGGATGCCTTTACCGCGAGTACGAAGCAATGTAATTTGAGTCAAGGCTATGCTTGTTAAATTTGAAACTTGGGAAGCGCGGTAGGGATGAGAGGGCGTTCTCGGGCGCAGTGGTTGAAGCAGGGCCGCGGTTGCGGAGTAGAGTTCGTGGCGGTTGGGGCGTCCAATCGCGGGCGCTCAGTAGAGACTACTCCCCCGGCAGAGCTGTTGCGTACCTGCAGAGAAAGCTAAAGATAACTCGTTTTTTGGATGCTCAGAGTCAGCAGCGCCTGGTCCATCTATTGACATGCACCTCCTAGGACGCGGCATTCCAGATGTTGTTCTCGAGGGGCCAGCCTGCATGGTCGCTGTGAAGCAATGGTTGAAACATGACCCGGAATTAAAATCTCAGCCTTACCATAGGTATTTTGGGATGATTTGTTCGTCAGCAAGAAACAACAGCATAAAAGGTCTTGGAGACACTTCGAGCGCTTCCAGTCCTCAGTTGGTGTCTTTTTCAACTTTGTCCGGGGCGGGGGACGGGCTCTGTGGCAAGTGCAGCCTTGCCCTTGCCCTTTCCCTTTTACCCTGTGAACATTCCATCACTTCGCGAGCAGATATTGGATCGCATTTTGAGGTAGCAGATGCTGTAGATGGCCGTAAAGAGGCAAATTTGAGGCCAAAGGTCGTTGGTGTCCCCGGAAGTGGCCGTCATGCCTCGGCCTGTCCGCGAAGCACATCATCTTGAGCAGCGTGTCATTCTGTTCACAAATAAGTTACCAACCCAACTGGTAACTGCAAGTCGCTGCTACCCCTCGCCGTTCGCGTGCGTCAGGGGTTTCCTTATCATTTCGGTCATTTTTTCAACCCCTTCTAATCCATACTCCGAGAGAATGAACTCCACTGTTTCGATATCTTGAAATCCATGATGGGCGTACAGTCGCCGGCCCTGTTCAGAGGCCTGAAGGTAGCAAGGAAGATCAAGCGTCTCAGACAAGTCGATTCCCCATCTCACCAAAAGACTGCCGGCGCCGCGCCTTCTATGATGACTCGCAGTGACAAGTAAGGCTAATACTGTGACCAAGATGGTAAGCTCAGGGTTCTGAATATGCCCAAATCTACAAGTTGTAGCAATGTTAGTATGTATGACACGTCTTGATCAACTTACGTATGTGTGGACGTTTTCCCATATCGCCATTGCGACGACAGAAATACTCGTGGGCAGCCGCGCGCAAGCGTCCAAATTGGTCGACTTCCATATCTGATTTCTGCATTGGCAGTCGTAGTTTCTCGAGGTCTGGCCGGCCGCTATTGTAGACTTCCCATTTCGCATAGGCAATGATTTCTTCTTCGTTTGCCGGATCCACCACCTTCAAATGATGTACGTTGGCACTGTTGTCAAGATCGTTGTGTACCGAGGCTTCTTGGCCAGGTGTAAATCCTGGATAAGGGGGCGGGCGCCCGATGACAAGACTCCCGAGGCTAGCAACGCGAAGGGCAACGCACTGTGCGACATCTGCATGCTCGACAGGCCGTACGACTAACCCCATTCTACAGATAGGATATTGAAGGAGCGGAAGAACGAGAGCGCAAGTCTGAAGTCTCATGGTTCGCGATGATCGGAGAATTGGAGTTGGGGAGTTTGAAGGGCGAGTTGTTCCGCCCCAGTGTACAACTCAAATTGCTGCTTGGTTTGGCCTCAC